ATTATGAAAGAATAAACAGATGAGGAAGACGGTCCCCAGAAGCCCTATGCGAGGCTTCTTGAGGCTGAGGTTTAACATGGTAACGAGTTCAATTTAGAATCAATTTTATATAATACATATATATATATGTAGCAAGGAAGGTTAAAAGAAGGAGTGACTGTTTGCACTTCCTTCATGTTATGACTGTCACTTGTCAACACTCACCACATGGTGACAACTTGGACTTGGTGAGGCTTTGAAAGCTACACTTGAAGCCTTCGCCTGCAGTTTCAAAAACAACTCTTATGTTCTTCCTCAACTCAAGGGTTTAAATATCTGATTGCACGCCAGTTGTGAACGTTAACTGATGGGCCTATTGAAGCTGCTATGTGGAATGCACATCCCTTTACCGAAGAAAAGAAGAGGAAGGATTGTTGCCCAGACCTGTTGCCGGAAGGGGCAGGGGGGTAACAAAGGTAGTGGGATTGCAGAGAAGCGCCTACATCTTTGTCGAATGTGTTTCAAGAGAACACATAATAGCGAGGGGTAAATGCAAAGGAGAAGGGAGATCGCAAACTGGGCAATAAGGAGCTGTAATTTTAAGTAGTCTCTACGTGTTCATAATAAAAATGTTTTTTTGTTATGGCATCTATAGCCCACTTAGAAAAAAAAACACATCAGTCAGGATGGGGTAGTTGAAAGAGCAATCGAGGAATGATTTTGTTTTCTAGATAGATACAAATTGTCAATCGTTTCTAGTAGTTTCTTGTATGAACTCAGCCGTGATACGTGATGTTGACTGCGGTGCAGTACAGTGTGTGTGTGTGTGTGTGTCCACCGGGTGGAGCAGGTGTTATGATACTAGGCTGCTGACTCAATGGTCATGTGTTCGATCGTGACAGTGGAAGTTGTATTTCAATGGAGGAAATATGGTAGAGGCCTGTGCACATCAAAGAGAACCAGGTGGTCAAAATTTCAGGAGCCCTCCACTACGGCGGCTCTCATAATCATATTTTGATTTTGCGATGTAAAACCTCAGGTATTATTATTATGCATGTTAGTGCAGCATTAAAAGATGAAAAAAATAAGAAAAAAATAAGGCCCACTGAACTAATTTTTCAGTGAGTTTCCAGTGGTGGGACTTGTAGTCTGGCATTTCCTGTCTACTTGGGAGTTGTGCACTCTTGTTTCGAGAACTACCTACTCAGCTACATTTACGTGTAAAGTTGAGCGTCTGCCTCGAGCAGGTTGACTTTTGATTGCATAAAAACTAAGTGCAGAAAGCTTTTATAACTGCGACATAATAGACTGGCGCAGCCTTACGACTGCATCATATTTTATTGAGGTTTCGAAGTAACTTTTGTAAACGAATATGTAATCATAAATAGAAGTAATCTACTGTGTGCCATATATACGTGCCAATACATATAGCTACGAAAACTCGCTCTCTAGATTTCGTACCGACCGGTTGTGCCCCTGCGACCTCCGACGACAGCTCAGCTCTGGCCAACTGGCTCACCCTACGCCATCTCCTGCCGCCGACAAGAGCTCTCACTGAGTGGTGCCCCGTCCTCGGTCTCCTGCAACTGTGTCCATCTTTCCTATCTTCCTATGTTCTCCTTGCTTCTGGTGTCCCTGTCCCTGCGCCACGCTCTCTCCTTCCCCCTCTCTATCTCAATACCTTTAATCCTATCCTTTTAATCCCTCCTCACTGCCATCTCTCGTGAGCTACTGTTGAGGTGTTGCACTGTGATGCAGACAGTTACAGGGCTCACTTTTATCTTCTTTTCTATTTTAAGAATCACATAAGATATAGCTATGGCTAGTGGAATGAGCTCTAATAGTAAATGAAAAGTTACAACAAAATTCTTTCTAGTTTTGGAAAACTGCAAAAACAAAAACATTTAGACATTTGTTCGAAAGAGAATAACTGTCTGCAACGCTCACCACATGGCATCAACTAGGACTTGGTGAGATTCTGAAGAATACACTCAAAGCCTTCGCATGCTGTCTCAAAGACAACTCTTTTGTGCAGTGTCAAAATATGTGTTCAAGGCAGCCATTTATTACTTGAACGCATACACTTTCTGCTGTGCATGGTGTGCATAGTCTACGATTATTTGTGTGCCTAATGCATAACTTGATAATTATTGAATATGATGGGGCTATTAAGGGAGAGACGAGCCGCCATCCCTATGATGAAGCCCACCGATGACTTCTTTATTCGAAGACACGCAAAGCTCGGTCCAAACTCACCCAGCCTCGACCCCACTGTGCTTCATCTTCATATCAGCGCTGCACACAATTTCACACATCCTCTACCCTTACAAATTGACTAAGCTCTTCCTAAAGTTCTTGAACAGGCTTTATCGTTTAACAACGAAGTTTAACAACATCCTCTGTGCCGCCACAGTGGCGCTTGATGCTGAGGAACACTAACCCACAGGGATTCCAAATGTCTGTACGAGTTCCAAGTCGCTCATTGTGGGGTCATCCGGGCATCTCATTGGACTTTATTTTTCATCAATGCTTCTTAAGCTTGGGCCACACTCATGGCTTTGAACGTGTTGACCTTGCTGAGCTTGCTCACTCTGAGAAATCTTCCTGTGGATGAAAATTCGCAATGAAGGCTCTTGCACAAAGATCTCAGGCAGCCTTTTCTAGAGAACCTTTTACTTGGCTTTCTCATTTTGGCTGCATTTACCTTGTGAGCGCCTGCTTTCTTTCACCTTCTTGGTTTGTGCTGCATCATTCCCTACTGTGATACTGTCTTTGCATTTGGCATCTGCAGTGATGCAGCCTGCGCGGTCCACTTTTTTCTCTTCGTTGGTGTCTGCAGCTTTGTTGAGTCTTTAAGCTATACAGGCAGTAGGCTTCAGTGTCCTCACGATCTTTCCATTTTTTTTCTATTTCTTTCTGCTTGTTGCTGTGGCTGTGATTTTACTCATCCGGTAACATGTAAGCATGCAATTGAGGACTGCCTCACAATGGACATTATCAACTTTGGTGAGTACTCACCCTTGGTATCTGGTGCAAAGTATTCGAAGCTCCAAAGGTATCCCACCATTTGATCGTAGTAGTCTCTTCGTCCACACACACACGAATTGTTGACGCTCTCTTGTCGTTAACTAGATGGGTATCGGACATTGACGAGAGCTCTGAAGGGATCAAATAGGTGTCTAGAAGTTCGGATTCTTCTTCATTGGCAGTATTTCATATTGTATTCTCTGTAGTGGAATCGTTAGTTTGTGTGATTCCTATACGTTCCTCCATCTATTGTGAGGTGAGCCGTTTACCTTCTGTGTTGTGGTATCGCTATTGATAAAGCATTGGCTAGATGGTTGCACCACAGGCATAAAGAGTACTCCCGTTTGCACTTCTGTTCTAATCCTTTCTCTTATGGCCTTCAAGCGATTCTTCCGACCCTTTATTCAATCTTCAATTTTATATTCAGCTTTGACTTTGCTAGAATAATATTATGCAAATAAACATCATCTTTCTCCATTTCTGCTTCTATGTTATCGATGTCAGCTGTGTCTTCTATCTTTTTATCAGTTCCTTTGAGAAGTTCGAACTGGTCTGTCAAAACGTGGTCAGTATTCTGAAACAGTGATTTGTGGGTGCTCCAGATGCAGGAGACTTTTGATGCTTGCGATAACTTTCCTGATGGTCTTTCGTACGTGACTAGCCTTTCGATTAGGGCTTAAATGATCCGGTCCAGCATTGGAAAACGTAGAAAATTATTGGCCGGCCACGCCACGAGGCGAAGTAAACGTCGCCGTGCTATTCGTCACAAAGCATCATATGATGAAGCTCCGGGCATCGTCTACATGTCACGCTCCACAAACTGTGTCACGGGTAGGGTTAAACCTCGCACATGAGCTTCATTCAACAAAGGTCCTGCAGGCTGCAGATGCGGTGGAGAAGTTGTAAAAGTCGGCTCTGTCACACATATAAAGGCTCTTTCTCCCGGGTTTCGTGGCACCGAAATGTTAAGGAAGGGACGAGCTGCCGTCCTCCCGACGAAGCTCACTGATGACCTCTGCTTTATTTGAACCCACCCAAAACTCAGTCCAGACTCGTCCAGCCTACACTCCACTACCCTTCTTCATCTTTATGTAAGCACTGCACAGAATTTCTGCTTCACACCTGCTCCAAAAAATTGCTGAAGCAGTAAAAAAACTGGAACACCAATGCAGGCTCGGTGCATACTGCAGCCCATTAATAAAGATAGCTGAAATTAAATTTATCATCTCAGAGTTTGGATGGCTAGGGTCGTACCTGTATAATTTTTTAGGTTAATTAAATAAAGTATGAATCAGATACTGTCAAAAGCCAACCTGGGTACTTTGTTCTAGATTCGTAGCAAATAAACATTTTTGCCATTAAAATACTTCATATCCTAGCATATTATTGTAAGGAAGCTTTCGTCATTACAGAAGCTTGCTAACAAGCATGTAGTTAGCATACTCAGCACTGTTTGTTCAGTGGGGATGATTGGGGTATAGCCAAGGTATTTCACTTCCTTAGTAACATAAACTCTAGTTAAGTTTTTGTACTTTCAGCATTGATGTGAAAATTTTCTGGTTTTGTCCAATTTTCTGTTTGATCTCACACAGCTGACAATGCAAATGTTAGGAATATTCAGTATTCACAAGAAGATTCATATATGAAATCAAGTTGGATGAAATTTATTGATTATTTAAAACATAGAATTATTTGTAAACATATTTAATAATGGTAAATAGGTATCACATTTGATGTATTATTTCTGTACATAGCATATCCATAGCATATCCGGGGCCAGAAACACTAATGCAAATGATAGCCTTGAAAATGTCTGTGGCTGCATCTGGAAATGGCTTCTGATTAGACCTGAGCTGTGAAGTTTTACTAGTGCAGAGAGTAGGTTTAGGAGGAAAGTTAGGAGGTAGACACCTGTCTTTTTGTCTTGGTGCAGACATCTCATGATGTAGTGACTTCTATTTTCTATTTTTCCACCACAGAAACTGTGAGGCACACAGAGAACTAAAAAGACGTGGCTGACGTGCTTTGTGTCCGATCTGCAAGTGTTTATTCGACATATCATCCCTTGGTGAGCTCCCTCTGAAACATTCCATGCTACTGTCTGTGCTATGGAGAAATGTGCAAGAAGGGATGGTGCGGCAGTACTATCAGTACCAGTTTCACCGAAGTGTTACATTTGTAATGATTTCCACGAAAGTCATAAAACTGTCTGAAATTCTGTGGTGTTAGTGCCTGTATGCTGACTCAAAGGTTGCAAGATATAATCCCGGCTGTGGTGGCTGCATTTCAGTGGATGCAATGGGCTATAGGTCTGTATGCGCATATTTAGGTGCCTGTTCAAAAACCCCAAGTGGTCAAAATTTTCAGAGCCTTCTTCCACAACATCTCTCAAAATCTTGTTGTGGATTCGGGATGTAAAACCTCGACAATTATTATTATATAATAATTTCTTGAAATTATACCGAGAGTGCTTGAAACGCCAAGTGAAGTCATGTAAGGTTACTACTCAGGCAACCTTGCATGGGAAGCTAATTACAAAGGTATTTGCTAACAGAATTACGGCAACATTAGAATTTAATGAATTAAATGGACAAGCAGGATTTCGAACAGGCTACTCAACAATCGATCACATTCATACTATCAATCAGGTAATGGAGAAATGCTCAGAATACAGCCAACCACTGTACATAGCCTTCATAGATTACGAGAAAGCATTTGATTCAGTAGAAATATCAGAAGTCATGGAGACACTGTGGAAGCGGGGTGTAAACGAAGCATATATAAAAATTTTGGAAAAAATCTACAGGGAATGAACTGCTACCACAGTGCTTCATAAAGAAAGCAACAGAATACCAATCAAGAAGAGCGTAAGGCAGGGGGATACAATCTCCCCAGTGCTATTTACCGCATGCTTACAGGAGGTTTTCAGAGGCCTAGAGTGGGAAGAGTTAGGGATAAGAGTTAATGGAGAGTACCTTAATAATTTGCACTTCGCCGATGGCATTGCGTTGCTGAGCAACTCGGGGGACGAATTGCAACTCATGATTACGGAGCTAGACAAGGAGAGCAGAAAGGTAGGTCTTAAAATAATCTGCAGAAAATGAAAGTAATGTACAACAACCTCGAGTAGAACAGCACTCCGAGATAGGTAATAGTGCTTTAGAAGTTGTAAAAGACTATGTCTACATAGGACAGGTAATAACCGTGGAGCCGAACCACAAGATTGAAGTAACTAGAAGAATAAGAAGGGGGTGGAGCACATTTGGCAAGCACTAGCTCTCAATTATTGACAGGTAGATTGTGGCTATCCCTCAAGAGGAAGGTATATAACAGCTGTATCTTGCCGGTACTTAGCTACGGAGCAGGGACCTGCAGACTTACAAAGAGGGTTCAGCTTAAATTGAGGACGACACAACAAGCAATGGAAAGGAAAATGGTAGGTGTAACCTTAAGAGACAAAAAGAGGGCAGAGTGGATCAGGGAACAAACCGAGGTTAAGGATATCATATTTGAAATCAAGAAGAGGAAATGGACATGGGTCGGGCATCTAGCACGTAGACAGGATAACCGCTGGTCATTAAGGGTAACTAACTGGATTCTCAGAAAAGCAAGTGGGTTAGGGGGAGAAAGAAGGTTAGGTGGGCAGATGAGATCAAGAAGTTTGTGGGTATAAAATGGCAGCAGCAAGCACAGGACCGAGTTGACTTGCGGAAGATGGGAGGGGCCTTTGTTCTGCAGTGGACGTAGTCAGGCCGATTATGATGATGTTGAAATAGCCTGGGCTTTGTTATCATCATACTAGAATAGCATTAGGAGTTTCAGCATTCAAGTATGACATCATTGTGACCTTTGCTTCACTGCCTTTTGATGTGATATTCTCCAACTTTATTAGTGCACCTGTATTGAGGTACTGTAAAGAACTTGTCGACTCATACCCATAACACATCGACTTGCTTATGGCAATCTGACGACACTTGTATACACTTCTCATTTGCCGTCTTTTCGTAATTCTGCACTCTGCAAAAGATTTTTAATGGGACGAAGGAATAGAGGTCAGTCTGGAAACCGTGTTTCTAGCCTGCTACTCTTCACGGGGGTAAGGACAAAAAGGAGAAAAAAAAAAGATCAAGAGGAAGGCATGCTAAAAGATGACTATGGGTATAGCACATTGGGTCACTGAACACGCTGTCTCATGTGGGGTAGGGCATACATACATTAGCTACATTAGCACGTGCTCTAAAGACGAGCATCTAAACCGGTATCACTGAGAAATGTGAACAAGAATTTATAATGGGCGTTTGGCATAATCTAAATGTTCCCAAGCACCCGAGAGCTTTTCCTTGGAAAAGGGTGAGCAATCTAGATGATTTATGAGGTACTCTATTGACTATCTTTTGGCTGCATATGGAGGGCACATGGATAGGATGTGATTAATAGGTAGTTTCTGACATGTGACACGCACTACAGTTAGGGTCTTGCTACTGTCCAATTTTGCATGGGTATTGTTGTGTATATACGACGCCCAGCCGCAGTCTATGTAGTAGCGTTTCCTATCTCTCCTCAGTCAGTACGGAAGATAAAAAGCAAGTGATAATCAGGCTCATTCCATAGTCGTAGATGTTTTCATAGCCTTAGACAGCAATGCGTTGATTTCATGCTGAGAAAAAGGAATTGATGCAATTTTGTTGCTATTGCGCGCAATTTTTGCTTCTGCGTCAACTTGTTCATTCTCAGCTATGTCCCAGTGACTGGGAATCCATTGTAACGCAACAGTTTGTCCGGATTGAGATGCCTTATTTAACATATTCATTGTGTTGCACAACAGAGAACTATATGCAGTTCCTTGCATCATGTAACTGCTGATTAGTTGAATTACGGACTTGTGTCAGAAAATAATGTCGATTTCACTGGACTCTATTGTTAAATGTAGCAGGCCGCTTGTCGGACGCCGATAAGCTCGGCGGCAGTAGATGATGTCCAGTGTGCTATTTTAAAGTGTTTCGTAATTCCCATGTGAAAGAAGTCAAGCCTTCCGATGCTTAGAAAAAAGGTTTATTTACAATTAACTGCAGTGCGACTTTGTGGGTTGCTGTTGCAGCATGTGAATCCAAGGAAGAACAGTTCACTGTGTTCTTCCTCACTGATCTTTTTTCAATAATCTGGCCTGTGCGCAGAAGTTTGCAAAAAGTTCTATTTCAGTGGGGACAGATTTTGAAAGGCCCATTTAACTGTATTCATGCCCAGTAATCTCTGCAGCTCCCCCATTCGTACAATGTTCTATAGTTGCCGTAGCTCACTTAACCTGTGTTCAATAACGAGGTCTCTTCTTCACGCTTTCATATATGAGGGTGCTGGTTTGGGTCTTTGAGTTGTTTTCAGCTCCCAAAGAGCATCTTTGTATCACTGTTCCAAGGAATGAATGCATGATGTGCCGGCATTTATTTGTTATGCATTTAATATTCTGCGAAATAAATTTTTGTTTCATCTTAGAAGTATGTTGCCATAGCTATTGGTAGTGTTCAGCATGTGGTCCAGTGGCTGTGCCTTCATTTCATAAGTAAGCGATTGGAGTCCTGTCCACCAGATGGAACCTGCCGTCAATTTACGGCCGGACACTCCTCTCGTTATATGGTCAGAAGCGGTCGACTTTCCATACTTCATGTTCACAGTGAAAGAATTCAACATGCTGAAGGTGGCATCTGGGCGACAGGTCATCTGTGGATTAAGCATTTTTTATTGGTCTATTGCTGTAGTATTTCCTTTGAATTTCCCCGGCTAGACGACAATACGCCGGTGTCAGTGTGCCGAGCCAGTTTCAATGCTTTTGGCACACTTTCCACTGTTCCGAGATGTAACTGTACATGTTGCATAGACTTCCTTCCAAGAACACTTGGATCTTTGGAAGCGCCATTGTGTAACATCACAGTGGCACATGATATCTCATTGGCTTGTGACCGCTGTTGGGACGAGTTTTTAGGGTCTTGATTGTGAGTGTTTTTACGTCCTTTGCACTTCATTTTCACGACTTCCAAGTCTGCATAATTATTTGTTGTTGTCTTACGGTCGGTCACTTCTGCTTTCAGTACGATGAACTCGTTGCAGTGCATGGCTGTAGTGCAAGAGTTTGCTGGTCTATGTAGTGTCTAACCTAAGAAGGTTTCAATGGCTTTCAGTCTATGTTGTAAATTCTCAATTGTTCCAGTCACAAATGAACAGTAATAGTCACTGCTGATCAAGATGTCAACTGTGTTTAAGTTCTCAGCTTGATTGATGTTGGCGAACTAAAGTCCATGGTGTCTGAGCTTGTCGATGAAGTCTTCAGTCAATTGTGGAATTGATTGGTGACTGATATTCGTTGTAAGGAGAGCTTTTATCTGCAGTGACTTGCAACCATGAACTGAATGCAACGTGACAAACTCATGTGGGAAGGCCTTCTCGTCATGTTGTCCTTCAAAATACCCCTCTTGAAGACTTTCATGACCGAGTGATCGACAATGCAATTTTTCTGCCAGTTGCTTCATCACAAAACTGCAGTGACTGACTCCATCAAATAAAATTGAACTCGAACATTGCTTTCGTGGCCAGCTGCCCTACGAACAGCTGTTTGTAGGTATACATGCCATCTGTAAGTGGCACTTCCAACTATTTCGAGTTTTACCAGCTTTGGTAACGTCTGAGAATTGGTAGTCAATGTCATCATCTGCAAGTTGCACGTTGTATCCACATGGGGTCAATTACATTTTTTGCATTTGACCTTTCTCCTGTAATATTTTGGCATGTGATGGAGGAATGTGACGGCAGCGACTGGCACGTAGTAGGCATTTTTTTTTTCTAGTGGCATTTGAAAGTCGCACTGCTCGTTATTATGGGTTATTGAGTGACAAAAAAAAAAGCTGCTGTTCTTCTGAAGAGCTGGTTTTTTGGATAAAATTAAACACTGCATGGTCGGATTTTGATGGTGTGTAGAGAATGTCGCACTATTGCAAAAATCATCAATGTGGCCCTTCAACTTGCTCTTTCTTACAGAAACGTGCAGGAATGTTTGCTGTTGAGTTTCTAGATCTATTT